TCCTCCTCACTACACTAGTCTCTAAAACAGTCAGAAAACTGTAGTGCGACATTTTACTCCTTCAGGAAACAAACATAAGTTACTTCCGTAAAGCTAGGAGACTGGTAAAGCACTTCTTTGCGTGTGGATTTTTCTAATCACCCACACACCAAGCGTGCGTGTGACACAGCAATGATTGTGTTTAACTGGTATCCTCTTAACGGGGCTCACTTCACCTTCGACCTCGATGGTTGAATGGTAGTGTTTGACTATGCGTTTCAAGAGAAGCAATTTAGGCTAATCAGTATATACGTGCCGGTAAAAAGTCAAGCAATGGCAAGCTCTTACAGGCAATTAAACCCAATGCTGCAGAAAAGGAAGCACCACACTTTAACAGGTGACTTTAATTGCGTTTTTAAATAGTTTAAGGAATAGAATAGGCCTAAGCAGGGAGAAAAGAGAGATTTAAAGTTTAGAATTAAAGAAAGTTGTTGAACAATTCAGCCTATTAGACGCTTACATGCTGTGTCATGGTAAAAGTTTTTAACACACCTGGCTGCGTAACAGCTTGTGGGCTAGAACGAGAGTATGTGACTCTGTCTCTGCGGTGAACGTTCGTAGACTGCCAGGTGGTTGACTTTCTCTGATACACCTTGGGTATTTCCGAACACAGGCCTGTGCTAGTGTCCTTTGAGGTTTACGATAGGTTGTCTCACCGTCACCCTTCGCGAGTAGACAATAGACTCTTGAACGATGATGTGACAAGGGCCAGTTTGCGCAACCCTGTGTCAGCCTCCATAGGCAACCATATCTAGGACGCTCTCAAGCAGGAGTGGCGAGAAAGCTGTTCCGACGAGGGTAAAAAGTTAAAGCAACGGTATTATGGTCTGGTGAGAGAAATGCTCCAGCGTATCCGGTAGGTTGCAAGAGTGTAACCAACCTCTTTTCTTATAAAGACCTATGCTAATCACTTGAAATTAATATTAGCCCGACTAAGAACGCTGACGTCCACCATGGCTAGCGCTTACCAGGTCACATGCGTTTCTAGTTCTCATCCGGAAGTCCTGAGCTACATCAACAGCACCGGACTCGGGCAGATGGAAAACTGTGGTAACTTGAGCCGACAGGACATCGTCATGTTTTGCACGCATTTTGAAAACATGGGCACTCACCAACTACAGCTTGACTTGGAATTGCTTCTTAATCATTCGTTTGTAAGCAATCTCCTACAACTCCCCGATGAAGTATGTAGCAGTTTAGTTGCTCCCATAACCCTAGATGAGCTCACGATGGGAATGCGTCACCTCCATAAAGGTTCTGCACCGGGAAGCAATGGCTGAACTGTCGAATTTAACAATGTATTTTGGGATGTCATAGGACCCACCTTGTGCGAGGTGCTGAATCTATTTACGAGCAGACACACGCTCCCACCGTTGTTTAGGAATGGCAGGATCGTCCTGCTTCCGAGGACGCAAGATCACGAGGACCCACGTAATTGGTGTGCGATTACGTTATGATGAACAGACTACAAAATCTGAACGACTGTCCTAACCCTGCATCTACAGAGAGTCACGCCGTCGCTTATCACATCTTGAGAGTCATGTTCAGTGGTGGACCGTAACGTCAAAACTTTGTATATGCTTAACAGAGATATTATAGAATACACAAGACAGAGACAAGCGACCGGATGGCTGACTTTTCTGGACCAGGCGCAGGCGTTCGACATAGTAGAGCATAAGTACATTGCTACCACTCTGCTGGTGTTTGGTTTTCTAAGACAGTTTGTGTACGTAATAACGAAATTTAGAATGAAATTAACAGTGGCCTCACAATAAACAATGAAATTGTAGCTTATTTTTTATTAATGAGAGGCGTGAGAAAGGGATGCCCTCTTTCCTCCATGTTACTAGCGTAAAGGATAGAGCATTTCTTGATTCAGACTGAAAAACACCAGACTGTCCTTCGGTTACAAACCCCCGGTAGTGGTACCCTTAAAGTAGCTGCTTACGCAGCTCACATAACGATATATCGTAGAGACGAGGTCAGCCTCGCGGCTGTTTTCAAGGTTTTTTTAGTATACACTGAGCTCTCCGAAGTGAAACCTAATATACACAAGTGTACATAACATTGTCTTCACACGTCACCGTTAACATGCCTGCACGGCGTTTCCGTCGTAGGTAAAATATACATTTTAGGTGTGAGCTTTCAGGCCAGCGGCGCGACCAGAAAGAGTTGGGAAGAGAAGAAGGGGCTGAAACTTCAGGTCAACAGGGCCCTCTGGCTTAAATTCCGTAACAGATACGCCGTTATTTACTCTTGAGCGCCTTCACTCGTCGCCTACAGTTGTCCAATTCCCTAGAGATGCCTTATCAAGTTGCACGCAAGGTCAAATCACAGCTTGTCATATTCGTTTAGAATGCAAAATCCTCCCTTGTCAATTATGAACAGTTAGCCTAGCCTCGTGTAAACGGCGGCTGCAACATCCCTTTGGCTGTCGTTTAGGCAGATACCTTTCCGTTGAAGACGACCCTCAGGGTGTTACAGCTACCGGATCAGCACCCCTCCAAAAAGCGTGTGACGCACTTCCCAGTAGTGCACATCCGCCTGTTTTTGCAGACACAGCCCCCAGAACCCAAAGCGCTGAATCCGAAATCCTTTTATAGGCATGTCGTAGATATTTATAGGAGAATAGCCACCCTGCACTTGTATACTCAGCTCCTGGAGATTCGCAACACAGAGTTGGCACAGGAGTTACAGGCGAAATATGGCTGCGAGGCTAAGAACCTTGGGATTCTATTGGTATTGCTGACCCCTAGCTGGCTACCAGGCAGTATTCAGGATGTGGTGTGGCATTTTAAGTGGTGCGTCTATGGCGGACATGATGTGGCATATGGTCTGCTCGGAGCAGTGCGCGCACTGCAGAGGGCACGATGGTAATAAACACGCATTGCTAACTTGCCGTGTGGTCAAGACATTCTGGTCCCTCGTGAGCGGGGCGTACCACCCATTAGGTATAGCGCTGGTCACAAAAAGGAGTAGGTGCCTGAATAGTGCGCTGGCAGGTCTAGCGCTGACGGCCGGAATGTTTTCTTAGGGGGAAAACGGAAGCATAGTAGTAAACTAGGGAAGGGCCCGTAAGAGCCAATGGCCGATGATGGTGCGATTGTACAACATTGTAACCAACCATTTGGAAACTCAATTGTTCCTCCTTGGTGAGGAAGAATTCCCGAAGCGTTGGTCCTGTGCCTTTAATAAAATTTTCCACGGCAGGGTTGTGCTTACCTGTTCTCTAATACAGAGATTACGAATCATATAAGACTCACCTCAATAATTTGTGGTAAGTGTTCTCAAAATCCTGCTGGTAATAATGTGAAAAAATTGTGAGACTGCCGTGGAGCCAACCTCCTTGTAATTAAAGGCCACTTGAACACAAAACCGTATTGTGTGTGGGACCTGTGTCATATAATTTTGGTGAACAATAAATTTCTTATGTGCAGACATACCCACAGACAAAAAGACAGACCAAAAGTTTTGCATCGAAGTGCCAGAAAAGGATTATCGTCTTTGAAAACGCCCCCGGCAGGGCGTATATACGGCGAAGATTGAGCAAAAACTTTACTTCCTTTGTTGCTCCGTGAAAAGAACTCATACCCTATAATTATTATTTGAGAGTATTCTCGCTGTAATAATTAATAAGGAACAATATTTTCCGCCCTTCCTTGAATTTTCAAGGGGCTGAACGAGAGGGTGTTAGTCACGTGACCGTGCTGTTTTGTTTTTTTTTTCATTCTATTTCAGAGGAGACAGGTTGAGTCAAGGACATTTTAGCTCGCTTGTATTGGGAGTACGTGTGGTGTTGAATGAGAGCTATCACTGCAACCAAAAGATTTACTTGTGAGCAAGCATCCTTGCAAGGCTACTTTTTGAAAAGCATAGACGCGAACAGACGCATATTTACAGCCCTAAAACCCTAGCAAACGACGGAACCTTTGAGAGTTATGTTGGACATACATATTTTTACCTTTATACGTATCGACCTTAGCATGACCTGCTCAATCTGCCCAAGGTCTCGAAACCGCCGCCGAAAAGTAAAAAAATAACAGAAAAATTGATCCAATTGTCGTAATCGTGCCCCTTTAATTCATTTACTATATGTGCACCGGACCTACAGAAATTTGTTTCAAATCACACACACACACACACATATATATATACATATAGATACATATGTTGCGACGCGCGCCTCCGACGACGTTACGAAGGGCGCCTCGAAATTTCACCGCTGCAACCACTGTTACGAAAGACGACGACGCCAACACGGTTCCGAAGGCGCCACTACTTCGAATTCCACCGGGAAGGTCACCAGCCGTTTGGTAGCGTAGGTTTCTCAGCCCGTGACTGCTTCTGCGCAGAGCTGAGAGACGAGCGGACGAGACGACGGTGAGTTAAACAAGGTTTACGTACAGCATATATACAGAGGCGTTACAAATTCGGCACTGGGGCCGACAGAGACGCGAAGAGCCGAGCTCTTCTCTCTATACACATAGCTCTACTCTCAAATGGGTCTGCTGTCAAAGGGGTTTCCTAACACACAGCTCAGCTCTCTCTCTCTCTCTCTCTCTCTCTCTATATATATATATATATATATATATATATATATATATATATATATATATATATATATATATAATCATCATCTACGTCTTGGTGGAGATAGCGTTTATTCAGCCCAAGCGCTCAGCGAACAGGCAGTCTGTGACAGAGCGCGCACATGATTGTGGAGAGACGCAATGAAAGTGAGCACAGAGACCCAGACGGATGATGATGATGATTATGACAATGCATATATAAGAAGAAGTTCATCACGAATGCCCACAATATATATATAATGCACCATGCATATCATGAACACGAATAAATGTTCATGCTTCCGATGGTTTTTGCTCTTAGCACTTTAAAATGTTTTGCAATGCACACACAAGTTCCTTCAGGTGGAAGTTTTCCTAAAGCTTACGTGTGTCCGAGCTCATGAGCAGCTGCAAAAGGTCCGGAGTGAGGATGGTCGTTGTGCACGATGAAAATAATATTTCTCCTTGTGCAGGCCCCTTCTCTTGTGGATATACCTGGTTTTCATTTCACGGGAAGATGTTCAAAATTAGTGATTCACGCTTCCATGTTGCTTTTCTTTTCACGCATGCGAAATAAACTGTTCGTATGAAGTGGCTACTTAGCTAAAAAGACAAGTCCAGAGAAATAACATGACACTACCCTCATTAATATTTTTTCCGGCATATCTTCCCTCTGTTCTCAGCCCCTGAAGACTGTGGCTATTCGGTGATATTTGTTCCGACGTAAAAAAAAAGGCCGCCCTCTACACATTTAATATTACCTGTTTCTTTTGCATTATTGTGATTTTTTCAGTAGGCAACAGACACGGAACGCATTTGTAATATAACTAATGGTAGCTTCGCTCTACCTAAGTTTGTTGTCTTACGCTGAATTGTAAGAGCTAAAACGGTTCGCAATGGTTGATATCACTTGTTTATTTCCGCATAAGTAAAATACTATAGCTAAGTTGCGCTGTAAAAACAAGACTTTTTAAAAAGTGTTTAAGGAAATATTTAAAAAAGAAGGTTTTCTCCAACTACACAGTGTTTTTCGTATCTCAGCACCTTTATATGGGAATGGCTCCGCCTTTCAATGATGCCGATTATTGTTTATTTTGGCTAAATTGCGAATAAAAAAGGACATACAGAAAGGCACGCCTAAAAGCTTTTAAATCTATCTATCTATCTATCTATCTATCTATCTATCTATCTACCTACCTATCTATCTTGTAGAATTATGAAAGTGGTGGACATCAGTAAAAGATGAACATCATTCACGAGTCAAGGCATAAAAAATTATCGTTAGTCTATCCGTCACAGACATTGGTATCGGACAAAACTAAAATTTGTGCTTTTAAAAACGATTGAACGATTGCTTTACAATTACATGAGAGAGTTTTCACAACACATTGGTGTTTTAACGCCGACGCACCTAAGTTCGCGCTTGGTGGTACATCTTAATACCAATAACTGACGTCTTTAATCAATGACTTAGCAAAGACTTGTGGCAGATGTTATAGTAAAGAATGAGGGATTAATCACAGCAAGCTGCGTGACAGCTCGATTAGCGTCGCTGGCTAAATGCAGAACTAGTCCTGCTATAGTTGAGCACTACGACAGGGGTAGAGAGAAACAGAAAGCTTGTGTCTTCTCTATAGGCCAGCCACAATTTTGTGTCCGTCAGCATAAGCAGGGAAAGTGAAGAAGGCGCGCGTCGCAGATCTATTAGGAACTTGCTCACCATGCTTCTTATGCTCACGGCAAGCCTGGCTTGCTTGCTTGCTTGTTCCTTTCTTTTGTGGCTCTCACCCACTAAGGGGGATCTGCCAAGACGCCGGTGGTTAATGCAAGTAAATACCTATAGATTTTCTAGATTAGGGGAGTATGATTACTGTGTTTTTACTGTGAAATTAATTTGGCGCAATGTCAGAAAAAAAGAAAAAAAAGAGAGGGGGGGAAGAATAATAGAATTTGTTGAATATCTGTGGTGGAATCGTTGTATGAAATTCTTCTGAAAGTTAAATCATTGCAGTGTATCAGCTAGATAATAAGTGGTAGTGTGACTAGCAAAATTTGACAGCTGATCGCTGACTCAGCAAGGTAATCTTCTCTTGGTGTGTACCCTAAAATAATATGTACCCTCTACTCACCCTTCGTAACTTTCATGAAGTAATAAAGCACCCATTATGCCGATATGCCATTCGTCATTCTGATGATAGGCGAGGTACCCTCTCCACATCTGTAAGGCATTATGTGCACTTTGTGCTGTAAAGGCTCGTCCACAGGTGGAGAACGAAATGTGAGCCCGCGAAACAGAGGCGGCACGCAAGCGGTTCGAAGAGAACCTTGAGTCGAGACCTGTATTGACATTGCCTCCTCTAACCCTCAACTGCAGTCTCTACTTCAAGATCTCCTCGCCACAAATTTCAACGATAACATAATTATGATCTTCAAAGGACAACCCTGCCCATGGCTGTGCAATCAGTCATAAAGTGGTTGTATATAATTGCTTCGATTAGCAAATGATTACAGTTAGTACATATATAGACGTATATATTGTATTGATATGTGAATAATAAAACATTGTGTATATGGTTGTATACACAATCAGCCTATAACAACTCGCTACTTCTTTATATGAAGGTACTGGACTTTCACGGAGGATTCACGGGTCCTACCGGTCATTTCTGAGCAACTCTTCCATATTCCTTCACTTCGTAAAGACGGCAGGACTTTTTTTGTACAGATGAATGCTATGAGCGAGGCCGATGCTTGAACTGAGGTCGCCGCCTCAGGTTGTGTTAAAGCGTTGACATAATTCGACTTTCTTTGGAGACGTACCGCATAAGACGGACAAGTAGATACGGCACTTTGTGGGAGCTAATCGCCGTTTCCATGTTCATAATGATTTTCTTGACCGCCGACCACGAGCACTCGGAGAGGGTAGGGACACATATGAAAGACGTGCTTGTCAGCCTCCGGAGCATGCCACTGTGACACAGCTTGTGTCGCGTGCGTGGCTGCAGCTTTCATGGAAGAAGTCACTGACACGACTTTAGGTGGCAGGAAAATTAAAATACGCAATACCTAATGGTCGAGCTTGATCCAGTGGCGTTACCACTCTTACTGCACATGCGCGCCCTCCACGCTTCTCCTTTTCGACGCTCTCCCCCTCTCTCGCCTCGCAAGTCCGACGAAGGCAGCGCTGCTAGCCGCTGCTCTCTTCCCCTCTATTACAGGATCTCTCTGAGTGGCACTTATACCCCCAACGCATAGGTGCATCCCTTCTCGTCTCTCTGCTTTCCTAAACACCCGCCTCTCTCGCCTCGCAATGCTGACGGAGGCAATGTCTGCTAGCCTACGCTCGCTCCCCATCTCTCTCTGCTAGGCAGCCGTCCCAGTTGCGTCTTTTTTCTCACTGTAGGTAGTTTCAGTGCTGGGTACACAAGCTCGTGGGGCGTTGCGGGTTTGGAGGCGCGCGGCGTTGCGTACCCAACCCATACCCAACTGGAATGCCTTATAGAGGCGCACACGCAAACGCAAGCCGCTCGAAGGTCACACGCGCTCACAGCTCCATAGCGTCTTAATAATCGCGTAGTATTTATTTATGTTTACGATATAAAATGCTAAATTAAACTTACATAGTGTCATGAAGTACACGAATTTCAATAAATCATTTTTATATAATATGACAGTTATCAATACAAAAAAAAACTTATTCATATGCGCCACACTTGCTACTGAAGCCGGCATTGTCGATGCCAAGCAATCCAGACGGCCTGTCGTAGTCCGACAAGCGCGACGACAGAGCAACGGTGTAACGTGTAACTCTGTGTAACTTTTAGCTTGTACTTATACTTATTTATGTTAACGTGTTACCGGATACCAGTTTGCGTTTACCGTCCTACCGGAACGTGCCTTTTCCAACGTTTTGAGCTGATCATACGCAAACAATATGCCTTTATGTTTTCGCAAACCATAAATCGTGATGCCAACTGCATTTAAACTGCATTTAACTTACATAGGAATGAATCACCGTTACGGCAAAATTCCCGAGACTTTCTTATCGCGAAAAAATGAAAAATACGAGGTTGCTGTAACAATAGTGTCGACATCTTGTGACACTTCGTGAAACCACAGTCATGAATACGCTGGCTTACGCGTAATGTTTTTGACGTGAAAATGAATAAAAAGGTTACTAATTTGTAATAACGCCACTGCGCGGTTTTCGCACCAGACGTACAATGCACAATGTTTCTGAAATAACAATGTTGTGATTGTCTGGTTTACTACGACCACGCTAGATGGCGCCACCTAGTGAGCTGGTCGCGGGTATGGCATATTTTTAGTTTCTATGTTCCAGGCCTTTCTAGCTTTGGTATTCTGGCTGAAACAATGTAATCGCTATTGGTACTCGCACTTTGGCCTATTTTAACTCGACGGCTAGAGTATCCGCAATGCGGATACTGTGAGTTCCTGCGAAGGTGGACCTTACAAGGCGTCCGATTCATGCTGTCCGAGATTTGGTGCCTTTGTGCCATGCTATTTGTATAGTGGCTAGCCACTATATTATTTGCGCTTAAAACTTGAAAGTCAAAGTGGTGGCTCTGGCCAGCCTCGGCTTTGCTCGCCATAAACGTGGGTGACGTCACCGGTAATATGATGTGCCAGCATGTGCGCCAGGGCAGCTTATCTCCGCAAGGAGGCCAGCGGTGGCACCGTTGTTTATGGCCGCGCGGACGCATGGCCCCAGTGCCCCAGCGATCGTGCGACGCATCTGTTTGGGGTTTCGCGCATGCGCAACTCCGCCGCCCCAACGTCCTGGGTACGCAAGCCGCTTGGATACACAGCACTAAAACTCTCTCGTCTCTCTCCTCTCCATCTCGCAACGCCGACGCAGGAAGCTTCTGCTAGCGAGCTTCTTAAATGAAAAAACTGGCTCCTCGTCCTGCACAAGCGTTAACTGCCCACCCACGATATACAGGCACTGAATCTTGAGCTCTAACGTAATGCTCGTGGGAGATTTCTTCGGTGTTTTGTTGCAGAATAAACATCAGTAGCGTTCGCGTTAAGTAAAGGTGGCTCGCGGGTATATGATTTAATCAGTCTTCTGCCTCTCATTGCGCATTACCAGAACACACCCATCCACATCAGTGCGTGCTTTGCCCCTCCCCAGGTTTCTCGCCCCAGCAACGCCGCAAAGAAGGCCACTGTCAACGCTACCGTCGTGTAGGTGAAGTGTTAGCTCCACTGCCTCAAATATTCACAAGGTTCCGCATAGCGGGTAATGGTCGTATTTCTTGCTTATTTGTCATCTAACTGTAAAATATTATTTCCTAAGAGCGGCGACGATGAAACAGGACCTGATCGTGCCCAGAATGCATGCCCAAATTTCATTTTGTTTTTAATTTGTAACCCAGAGTATAATAAAGAAGGCATTTTTATTATGGCTCCGCTTCCTGGTTTTCAGCATCATAGTGCCTTGACCAGAATCACAACGAGCAGTTGAATACCCC